AAACACATACTTTCAGACAACAGTCATGAATGACACACACTCACAGTAACGTTACATACAGTACTGTTAGCTAGCTTAGTTAGCCAGCTAGTTTCGCAAAGTATAAAATAGGCAAATTTGATGATAGATGATGAGAAACACATACTCTTTCACATAATAGTCATGAATGACACACACACACACACACACTACATACAGTAATGTTCGTTAGCTTAGTTAGCTAGCTAGTGTTCATTTCTTGACACATGATAAGACATAACGTTACTCTTTCACACAGTAGTCATGAATGACACGCACACACATTTCTGAGGAAAAAAATGAAGATAATACTTACATGTATCAGATCTTGCTGTGTAAAACAATCTTCTTAAGGGGTGACACTTATGATATAGTCTGTGTGGTCCACAAAATATAAGTTCCTGACAGTCACAGTTGATAAGAATCAAAGGTTCCCATGAAATTCCATAGGAAATGAATGCGGGTCATTTTTGACCCACTTATGGAAGCTTGGGGTAGTAATACAAAAACTAAAATTTCTTAAAATGTATAAAATGTAAGTTAAAAATTTAAATGGCATGATATCAGTAACTTGTTTTTTGAGGAATAGCTGGAATATGAAATGATGACAACTTTTCATTATATAGATATTGCAAGAAAACAACCTCACCGGGTCATTTTTGACCCACTTATGCATCTAAGGGTTAACAGTGTCCCTGATCGATATGTCTCCCAACAGACGACCCAGTGGCTCGAGATCCTGCAGAGATTGTGCCTCCATCACCACCCTGACATACAACATCGTGGCCTTGTGATTGTCTACAACATGCTCAACTCAGACGACAATGAGCTGGCCAAAAAGCTGATCGAGAGCGAGCTGCTGGAAATCCTCTCAGTGATCGGCAAGGCGGAGGACAATCCCAAGAGGCAGAACCCCATCGATGTGGCACGCACATGCCTGGTCAAAGCTATGGATCTTGGTCTCATCAAACCGTTCTCCACCCCTTCTTAAAATGCAGAAAACAACACCCATGGACATTCTTCTTCATTTGCTTTAAATACAGACTGTTTTTTGTTAAATGTTTTTCCAAATCAACCTGGCTCCAAATCTCTAAAGATGATTGCTCACATTGTAAATCAGTGTTTTTGATAGAGGCTGTTTGCTGCTGGGACAGTCAAGTAAGTATATATATTGGGGATTTCTGATTAGGAGGCATCTTTTCTATATTCTAAAGAGAAGAAATTTAATATTTGTGCTGAGCTGTAACTGTGAATAAATGTTTTCAGATTGACCTGTTAATATGTTTGTTTCCACTGTTTGGCATTTGTGCAGTTAGATGACAAAATGGACTCAAAGCCAAAACATTTTGACCTTTAAATAATACCTCTCTGTGTCAATTGTGCATGCATGCAACCTAACCACCGACCCACCCTCCTTTCTTTTTACCTTCCTTTTAGTCACATAGGATACAAGTAACATTCATTTCCTTAACTGACATATGACAACACAGCTTAGTTTTGACTTGACTTTGCACTTGGTGGAAATGTTCCTTTGCAGGTGATGCAATAAAAAGCCATTGCAGCATTTTGTATAACATGTAAAGAAAAAACAGCTCGCACACCGCAGGGCTCCAATGTTCAGTCCATTTATTCGCACTGTGTGCAGTAAATAGAAGTAACGTTTTGAGCAAGACGCTCTTCGTCAGACTTGAAATACACAGGGTGACGCAATCTTAAGTACATGTGATGTGGGTCACATGATCCAAAGGGTTACAGGGAAAAGAACATAAAGCAAGCAAAAATATATATATATAATAAACCACAAAAAGTACAATACAAGACTGTAAAGTGTTAAATAAATAATGAATAAAGTGCCCTGACACTCATACTGTGACAGTAGTCAAAAACAGAATATTTAAGCAGATAACATATGCACGTGCACAAGGGCACACACCCACACAGACAAACTAACTGTGATGCGTGTGTACACAAGAACACATACACATGATTAAAGTCACAATACCAGCAGCAGTATATAACAACCAAATAGTGAAATCTCATATCAAGGCAAGTATACCAAAGATTAAGTGTGAGTACACAATACTGTTGACACCCAACAACATCTGTATCAACACAATGAATACAGAGGGCAGCGGCACTCAGTGGAATGTGCAGGCAGCCATCGGGCAAAAGTTCCGTCATCAAGCCCTAAAATAACACTAAGGCTGCATCCCAATAGATAGCCTACAAAATGGGACACTAAAGTCCCAGAAAGTAAGAGGTACCAGTACATAGTGGAGACACGCAGATATCAAGGCAACAACTGACAGAGAATATAGAACAAGTTACAGGAAAGGACGGATGTCCATTTCTTCATTCATACCCTTGGGTGACATAGTCTCTAAAGTGTGAATCCAGAACAGCTCACATTTGAGGAGTAAGTTATTTACATTACATTCAAATATCTTAGACCAACCAACTGTAAGATAACAGATGTTTGATTGTGATAAAAAGACAGCTCTTTGGAAAACCATTTCATATGTTGTGCACATTCGCCAACTTTAAGAAGAGAGGTCTGTAACTTTTGTAAGACACAATGCTGCAAACTCAGAGTGAGTATTGTGAGTATTCAAAATGACAATACCATTTCCTCTCTCAGATTTTCGGTAGTGTATATCTGTATTATAATCAGAGTGTTTCTGTAAGCCTACAAGCCATTGTCTGTAAAGCCAGAATTATAATGATAGGTTCCTTATACAATTTTATATCACCATGATATCACTGTTTTCATTGTTAATCTCAGTTTGGACCTTAATTGTTATGCTAGATACGAACACTGGAATCACAATGCAGATCAAGACAAAAAAAGGTTTATTATAAAAGGTGCATAAATCAGTTCAGGGGCAGAGTTGAGTCAGTGAAGGGTAATGGAAAGGGCAAGATAAGATAAGATAAGATAAACCTTTATTGTCTGTCACAAGACAGTCTGTGCAAGGAGGGGAACAAAAACTGGGGCTGAGGCGTGAGGCTGAGTGTGGCTGGCTGGCTGAGGAGTGAAAATGGTGAGTAAAAACACAGGTTGAGTCAACTCACTGCGTAGTGACTGTGCCAGGAAATGAAGATAGTTGATGACAGGATGCGTGAGTGACACATATGTGATTGTGTGCGGTTTAGTATAATACAGTACAGACAAGGCAACAACAGACCATACTTTACTGCGGTCAGGTGAGCCGTCGTTTGCGAAGTCCAGTCAAGCAGCTGCAACACGGATTATGCTCCACTATGTCCATGTGAATTTTCATGTGATTTTACTGTACAATTCATGAGAAATTTAAAGGTAAATTCTGCTCAAATCACAACATAATAAAATCAAAGTTTCCTCATATTAAATATATACATTAAATTTCTCAAACTATACAGTAAAATTACATGAAAATTGACGTGGACGTGGTCTGGGTCATCCTGAACAAGAATCCATTGAAAGATTTATGTAACCTGTGAAGGATTTTCTTTTATTAACAGTTAATATGGGGAAATTATGATTTGAGCAGATTTTCCCNTGAACAAGAATCCATTGAAAGATTTATGTAACCTGTGAAGGATTTTCTTTTATTAACAGTTAATATGGGGAAATTATGATTTGAGCAGATTTTCCCTTTAAATCTTCTGAAACTGGTCTGACTCGTAAGCCTAGTTTCCTAGCTTCATCAGTTCATGCTTGTCTGACTATGCTGGAACTGATGAAGCCTCTTGGATAAGAGGTGATACGTCTTCTAAGACAAAACTAAGTCCAGTTGCGTTCAACTCAATTGCCTTGAGATAACTATGACCTGGATAAATGAGAATATCCACAGGCATTCTACTATAGGGTATTTCATACAGGCTTTACCTTTAAATATCTCAAACTATACAGTACAATTGTATAAAAAAATTGACATGGACATAGTGGGGGTCACCTACAACAAGAATACATTGAAATATTTATGTAACCTATGAAGGATATTTAAAAAAAAAATAATATTTGACATTAGGAAACTTAGGTCACCCAGAACAAGAATCCATTGCAAGATTTATGTGACCTATAAGGGATTTTTTATAAAGTTAATATTTAATATTAGGAAATTATAATTACACAATAGATGAAAATTTAAGGATTTAATCAGTAGCACTGGAATAAAAAAATATACAATTCAAAACTGAACAGTGAAGTGTTTTCACATGCTTAAGCCTTGATGCATAAACCTTAGATGGGTACAAGCTGGGAGTTATATCAGTCAGGGACACTGATAAAATGTGTGTATGATGAATCAAAAGTATCACAAGCTGCTTTTCAAGCTCTGTAGTTTATATTAGATACTTGCAGTTCTAGTTTGTGGAATCCACAAGTAAATTAGTGAGTGTGTATTTTATGTGTTATCAAACACAGTTATTACAAAAAACCTTGAGTCAAGTTTAAATCAAACTTACTTTCAACAATTCATGTTTGGATAAGTAAGAGTGTAATTAATTGCATGATATGTGTGTATTTACATTTCCATAGGGACATTTAGTTTGGGGGAAAACTGTGATCCATAACAACTGCTCTCTGTATGAAGTTTGAGCAACATGTGTGGGCTGCCCCAGAGGATTTCTGGTACCTGTGAATGTGAAGTTTGATATGGAGTCATCTTATTTGTTTTGTCATTTTTTAAATTTACTAACATCTACTAGGTGTTGAGATGTATGGCATCTATTATGGCATTTATTCCACCAAGGCAAAATGTGCTTTTTTTGCAGTGTTAATTAGCCTAAAGTGAAAAATCATTTGTGTGTCATCCTGTGATTCAGATCTGCTCCAAATTGTACAGAGTTGATCCTTGGCACATGCTCCATCCTTCCACCAAGTTATATTATGATAATCAGTCCAGTACTTTTTGCCTAACCCTGCTGACAAACAAATCAAGAAACAAAACTGTCATGACTGGCTTCAGGGCTGCAACAAAGGAGGGAGGTGCACACTTGACTTAACAACAATAAAATGAAATTTATTAAAGTAAAACAAATAAAACAATACAACACATGAACAGCATGAGGAGGAGTACCAGGTGACAGAATTTGGGGTCGTAACAAAAAACAACTTAAATAAATATAACCTCCTTGATGGAGGTAATAAGAACAGAAATGAGACTGCAGGAGTTTAAGCTCCACACTGAGGAGAGCTGCCATCATCCAGTCCAGGGCCACCATGAGTATCACTGAAGGAGTAAGAAGTCAGAGTGAATATATTAATGTCTACATTTGCACATACTGTGAGCTATAAGGCTGTCTATTTAATGTGCACTAACCCCTCGCTGGTTTCTCCAGGGTCCTGCTGCTCTCTTAGGGGTAAATTTACATCAGGGTCCCTGAGACAAATTCATATTAAACATGAGGATGTGTTGGTAACAGGCTCTCACAATAGCTAAACATACAAATGAAGGAACTTTGTAAATAACAATAATTTAAAATTGATTACCTTGCTGGCGGTTGATTTTGTTCTCTGTTTCGTCTTCTTATACAGCAACATGCAATCACACATGCAAGTGCTATTAGCAGCAGTAAACCACCTGTAAAATCAAGATATGGATATCTCAGATACTTGTATCAACACAAGATAAATGCAACAATCTTAATTTGATTTCTATTTGTGAACTTATTTCAACATACTTTATTTTATGTTCTTTTTTATTATGAGCTGCTGGACAGCTGAATTTCCCTTTGAGGATAAATAAAGTTCTTTCTATTTTCACATCCTGACACTTTGATCTCACCTGATTGTCACAATTAAAGGACCAACATTTCAGCCCTGAGCGTCAGCAGGAAAACAGAGAACGGGAGAGTAAAAGCAAGTAGGATTAGTAGCAAAAAGCTTTAAGATCTTAAATTTAACATGGCAGACGTGAGTGAGGTGAAAGGTGAAGGAAAGATTAACCACTGGCTGCTGTCGACAGTTGCCTGTCCAGAATCAGAAGAAATATGGTGTAAGCAGACAAAATATCAGATTTATTGATTTTCAGAACTAACCAACAACTCCAGCGGCAATGTGTCCAGGTTTTGCATGGTCCTTTGGCGTCCCCTCTGTGGTGACTGGTGATGGTGTGGTAGCTAAATAAAAGAGGAAAACTTCAATGGTCAATGATCAATCAAAACAGTGAGCAACATGATGCAAAGTGTGTAAGAAAAACTTACCACTGATAAAAGCACAAATGTTCTTTTGGTCTATTTGAGGAAACAAAAGGAGTGTTAGTAAGTGGTATCAGACAGCATGGCATCAGTTGTTGAACAGCAGAGAGAATAGATATAAATCTAGAATCTAGTTTGGCAACATGGGTGTTTTGTTTTGCTTTATGTGCACTGATTAAACGTGAGCAAAAGATGACAGTAGAGACATTTTAAAGTTTGGATTGGGGAATTTAGCGGTGTGCAGTGATAGAAATTCCCTCCAACACAAATTATCGACACACGGTGCCTTAGCTGGAGTGATCAGTCCTGTGCATGTCAGCAGAGGCAGAAACAACACAGAGGATGGCAGCAGAAGATGAGTAATTATTGGGCAACATGACACTATTGCTTTACTCCCAGTGACACAACTGGTTCCCTGAATTCTGCTGCATTTTCCTCTCCATTGTTTATCAACTTCCCATGACAGACAGTAAAATAAGCCCTGGATAAGCAGTTTACATGATACAGTATCCCAACTCTATCAGATTACAAAGGTAGAATATTCAGTTTTTTAAATTAGCATAAGAGGTTAACAAGATTTCTGAGATCAATGTTTAAGGTTTACACATTAAAAAAAATGAAAACAGGGATACTAATGTGCATGTCAAATAAATCACAACGTATACTAAGGAGTTACAAAAGTAAATGTAAATACCTGTACATTTTTCGGTGTCAATATAACCCATGCTACCTTCAAAGTCACAGGAACCAGCTGTATCTTTGGCAACGAAGGCCCGACCGTCATGCTGGCAGACATTATTGGGTGGTGGAGGGCCTGAACACTCTGTGATGTGAGTGTGACTGAAGTTTACACTGTTGTCGCTGCAAAATATGTGAGTCACATTCGCAGCACACCCTGGATTCTTGCAGAAAAACACCTGCACAGATTGGTGTCCACCTGTAACATGACACAGCAGATCTATGAAACATCTCCGATATACTTTTTTTGTCAGGAGAGTGGAGTATACAAGAGAAATCACACCTTGACTTGCTGTGACTGGAAAGCACTGAGTGAGTTCAGCAACACGCAGCAACAGAAAGATGAATATAGCAGGCAGCTCTGTAAAGATAAAATTACAAACTGAATACTCTCTCATGGCTTACATTAAAGAGATTATATTTAGTAAACAGTCAGAAACTTACCATCCATGTTAGAGATCGGTGTTGATTTCTGGTTCACAGATTCAGATTCCACCGTCACTGTTGATGATATTGTTGCTCCAACTCTTCCTGTTGGAGATATAGTTTCCCATCAGAAACATAAAGCTTACAGTAGAATTAGTGACTGGGCAGCTCTACTGCTCATCCCTCTTGTATTTGCCAATATTCTCCAACTCCTCCTTCTTCCTCCGAGGAAATCTAACTTCCCATGCATGAATAAACCAAACTCAGCACATAGGTCCAGTCTCATGCTAAACTTTCTCAACAGGAACTGGGGACCAATAGTGCTGATGGTGGCACCACAGCGACTATTTAAAGTTCAAAACATTGAAAATTCATAACAAATCACCTATATGGCCTGCGGCTTTGCAACTTTTACTAAATGGTAGGCCCAAGTGTGAAGGCATTTTTGTAAATTCCAACCTAGTGGAAACTATTAAATTCATCACTATGTTTTTATCAAAAACTGTAAAACTAATTAAACCCATCTCCTTCTACATGTTTCATTCAGATCACACCAAACATGCGTCCTCTGCATCTTCAGGCTGTCCTTCACAAACACATTACGCAGACTTTTGAGTGATCAAAAATTGAGCCCATGGTGCACCAAATTGCTTCACTGTAAACGGCTACTGCAAAATCTCGCTAAATAAAGCTCCAATGTTCATCAAAAATTGACAATATTTTGCTGTCAGGGTAGATGAAGTGTGTTTGATTTCAGATTTGTATGCCTGTATATACGTGTACAGCTGTTACGCTGCACCCTGTTGGTTGGCTGCATCATTCTACACTGGTGAGGTTACTCACCAGTGAGGTTAGACTGTTAGTTTCAGAGACTGTTAGTTCAAGTCCATAATGATGCTTATCTCATACAGTTTGGGCAAAAACCATGCTGTTCTTTACATGCATCATTCTCACCTAAGTGCATCTGACTATTTCTGCATACTGGGGTCCCTAAACAGTCTTGGGATTACATACATTGGATATTACTGAAAGGCTGAAACTCGTGGATCCAATGAGACCAAATGTACTGAGCTGCACCTCAAACTAATCTTCCGGTTTCCACCTTTATGGTGTATGCTACTTCTATGTGGCGTCTACTGCTGACCTGCTACCCCCAACACTACCCCCCACCCACCCAAATAAAAACAGAAAAAAATTAGTATTTAGGGTCCAGAGGGTTAAGTTTAGATTTTGAGGAAGTGGGTGAACAAGAAAAATCTCATGACTTTCTGGGGTACTCTAGGCTTGACAGTCACAGACTTGGTTGGCGTGACAGTTATAAGGTGCTGTGCAAGTCTTAGTGTAAAGTCACCTCAGTCATTCATAAACCCACTGCTCGGGTAGCTCAGTCACAATATTGCCATGTCAAAGGTTGTAAATTCAAGCCCCAGGGAAAATACTGTGCCTACTCTGCCATAGTGCTATTTGGCACACTATATCAAAGACCTTTTTCAAAGTTTAATGATACCTGGTCTGACAAGTTAGACAAGCTAATGGACACTGTTTTTCTTCTTCTTGCCCCTCAAAACGCCCAGCTCTGACCCATTGCTGCACAGCAGCTATAAGTCCAAATTATTTTCTATCCTGATACCCTCCTGTCAGAGACACTCATTTCTTTCCTAGTCTGTCTGACCCGAGCTCTCCTCTCTTTAATATTTTTCTTCTACGCCCACTCCAACTTGAGTTGTATTTATTTTTGCCACCATCGTTGGTACTTTCTCATATGACTGGAAGAACAACTTCTCCAGACCATAGTCTCCTTACTTTCTGCACGCCACTTCACCAGTGACTCACTTGCCCCTGCTGTGTCCTACCAGTTAGACGTGCCAGAGTGTGTAGAGAGCCTGCACACAGAATGTGTCTTATGTGCACGCAATGAAAGGAGGAGAAAAGAAAATGATCTTTATTAAGACAAATTCATGCAGCCAACCACCTTGCACACAACTACCCTATAGCAGACACAGTCTGAACTGTATAACTACTCTTCCTCAGTGCCACTCACACTGGCCAACACATTCTCACTTTGACCTTGTCACATATTGATGTTTTGGTCATGGGCGGTCCACGTCCACATATGACATGAAAGGTACCCTGGGTGTGTTGGTTGTTGACAATCTGGGACACTGTGTCAAGTTCTGCCTGTTAATTTAATCAAAATAAAAGTCCTCTGTTCCTTCCACGTTGTAAATGGGGGTGGAAAAATGCACAGGTTTTAAATATAGCTAGAGGGGGACCTGTACCCTTAGTTCCCCCGACATCTATGCCTTGAATGTAGTGCAGCTCACACCAGTCTCACATCCACAGTGGCGTAAGGTAGTTACAACGGGCCCCAGTGCACGCTATTATGAGGGGCCCTATTACGCCAGTTACAAGTTATGAAGCACACACACACACACACACACACACACACACACACACACAGAGTTTTAGGTGTACATATTTTAGCAACAGTGTGTCTTACTGCCACTTTTATGTTACATCCACTTGCAGATACTTGATATTGGAGACACTGACATACATATCTGTATAGGACAAATCTACAAAAGAAAATAGGAAATTATTAGTTTAACTTGATAGTTTTTTATTGGTAAATTATGTTTTTTTAAATAGTTTATGTAGAATAACTTATAATTTGTCATAGATTGACACTGTTTTACAAAACCAGAAAACCATGATGGAGATGTGTTTGCCTTATTTAGGACATGTATGGAAAATAGCACCATTTTTGTTTTAATGTGAGTTCTTCTTTGAACACGGGCATATTTCCAGGTGGCAGTCGGGCCCCTCCACCCCATGCGTCTTATGCCCCTGCACATCCACAAACCAGTTCCACAGGTTTTATCACTTTGCATTGAAACAGGGAATCACATGGATGTGGTACTACTCTGTGAAAGTATAGGCACGTCCTCTATAATTTTAATTTAATTTTAATTTTATATACTTTATTAATCCCCGAGGGGAAATTCAATTTTTTCACTGTTTGTCAATTACACACAGGTCCGAACACACACATGCACAAACAGGACCTATACATGCACTAAGTGGAGAGATGTCAGAGTGGGCTGCCCATGACAGGCGCTCAGAGCGGTTGGGGGGTTTGGTGCCTTGCTCAGGGGCACCTCGGCAGTGCCCAGGAGGTGAACTGGCACCTCTCCAGCTACCAGTCCACGCTCCATATTTTGGTCCGGACGGGGACTTGACAGGCGACCCTCCAGTTCCCAACCCAAGTCCCTATGGACTGAGCTACTGCCGCTAATGCACACATTGTATTGGCAGGTCATCCTGAGTTGTAGCTCTATTCATAACACACCGGAAAACATGTTGAGAAGCGCACTAGAAGCTCCCGCTCACCCACATTCCTCCCCGAGGCGACCAGCGGCTCCTCTCTAGCGGTAGCCCGAGCCCGGACTCAGTAAAAGCTTTCACCGGGTCGTAAATTAAGCAGACTATAATGAAGCCTATTTCAACATTATAACTGTAGTTGCCCATGTGTGATAATCTTTAAATAAACGTACCTGAATAAACCTAAATCCACGGCCAAGTGTCCTCTGCTCCACCTGTCTTCAAGCTTCCTCTGGAGGCAAGTGAGCGCCGCCTATCTCTGAAACAAGCACCTAAAGGAGCACCGTGGGTGGAGACATTAGGCTACAGTGTGTGTGTGTGTGTGTGTGTGTGTTATTGTGTAATGCGGTGAACACACGCACGGGGACGTAGGCTGCAGACAAAAGAGAATAGCCTACTAAATAAGACAGAGACATACAATTATAAAACTGAACACAAGATGAAATATTGACGATAACGTTACTGCTTTCACTTGCACACAGTGTGTGTGTGGAGGAGAGGGAGAGTGTTTAACCAATGATTCTGGACAATGTGAGAGGCTTTGGAGGCATTTGACATGTGCAGCTCTTCAGGTAGGTTTATTCAGCGATTACCGGTCATATTCTACATATATATCAGCTATTATTTCGGACTTTAACTTAACTTCTAGATGTTTGAAGCATGCATCAGCGGGATAGACACCGCTTCACTGACAGTGCCTTCCGTGCGCGATGTGTTGAGGAGCACGCGCAATCCGTGAACGGAGCCAGGCGAAGGTATAAGTGAGGATTACAGAGCGCCAGGCAGCAACTCGCGGCTGCCCTCAAGAGTCTGACACACTTTGGGTAGGAGACATGTGTGCTGTATCCAATGTTTAAAAGTCATAAATATTATTGGATGTTGTCATGGAAAAAAGACGGTGTGACACTCGGATGTGGTTTATCAGTCTGGACTCAGCCAGTGAGAGACAGGGTGGTGGTGTCACCCTGAGGTGGCTCCTAGGGGTTATTATAGGTTATCGAGACGATTCGACAGTATGGTCAAACCTGTAGTGTGACTGATGAACTTTAGGGAAGACAGCTGTGTTGTGCTCCAGAGGCAAATGAGTCACTGGTGAGGTATGGGCGCAGGAAGTAAGAAAAGTAGCATTAAGTGGTATTATATTTTAAGTCATACTAAAAAGTTGGAGTGGGCATATGGAAGAAAAATATTTAAGAGAATAGGGCTGAGGCAACTGAGGGGGAAGTGGTGTGCTGTGAAAATAATTTAACTAATGGAGGTCAAACAGATGATGGAAGAAAAGAATGGTATAACAGGAGGGTGTCAGGGTAGAGAATTATTCTGTAATCTTTACATTTCTGACCTCCACCAGGAAGTGTTTGAGCAACAACATCATCAACAGTAGAAGGCAGCAGAATCCTGTTTTGTGAGCCAGATACCAGCACTGATCACTAATATGGATAGTAAGTTTCTGACAGTTTACCAACTTTAAAATGTCTCCAGTGTAAACCGTTAGAGAGCCTTTAGTTTTTATTTTTTTTGTCTTGACAGAGCTGACTGTTGTTGTGCTGCTGTGTGTTGCTGAACTCACTCAGTGCTTTCCAGTCACAGCAAGTCAAGGTATGACTTCTCTTGTATACTCCATGCTCCTGAAAAAAAAAAAAAATATCTCAGATGTTTCATGGATCTGCTGTGTGATGTTACAGGTGGACACCAATCTGTGCAGGTGTTTTTCTGCAAGGATCCAGGGTGTGCTGCTCGTGTGAGATACATATTTTGTAACAACATGAAGTTGAACTTCAATCGCATTCACATCACAGAGTGTTCAGGCCCTCCACCACCCAATAATGTCTGCCAGCATGACGGTCGGGCCTTCGTTTCCACAGATACAGCTGGTTCCTGTGAGTTTGAAGATAGCGTGGATTATATGGACACTGAAAAATGTACAGGTATTTGCATTTACTTTCGTAACTCCTTAGTATATGTTGTGGTCCAATAACTGATGCCATGCTGTCTGACACCACTTACTAACACTCCTCTTGTTTTAGAAAATGCAGCAGAATTCAGGGAACCAGTTGTGTCACTGGGAGTGAAGCAAAAGTGTCATGTTGCCCAATAATTACTCATCTTCTGCTGCCATCCTCTGTGTTGTTTCTGCCTCTGCTGACATGCACAGGACTGATCACTCCAGCTAAGGCACCGTGTGTCGATAATTTGTGTTGGAGGGAATTTCTATCACTGCACACCGCTAAATTCCCCAATCCAAACTTTAAAATGTCTCTACTGTCATCTTTTGCTCACGTTTAATCAGTGCACATAAAGCAAAACAAAACACCCATGTTGCCAAACTAGATTCTAGATTTATCTGATTGAATGTCTCTCTCTGCTGTTCAACAACTGATGCCATGGTGTCTGATACCACTTACTAACACTCCTCTTGTTTCCTCAAATAGACCAAAATAACATTTGTGCTTTTATCAGTGGTAAGTTTTTCTTACACACTTTGCATCATGTTGCTCACTGTTTTGATTGATCATTGACCATTGAAGTTTTCCTCTTTTATTTAGCTACCACACCATCACCAGTCACCACAGAGGGGACGCCAAAGGACCATGCAAAACCTGGACACATTGCCGCTGGAGTTGTTGGTTAGTTCTGAAAATCAATAAATCTGATATTTTGTCTGCTTACACCATATTTCTTCTGATTCTGGACAGGCAACTGTCGACAGCAGCCAGTGGTTAATCTTTCCTTCACCTTTCACCTCACTCATGTCTGCCATGTTAAATTTAAGATCTTAAAGCTTTTTGCTACTAATCCTACTTGCTTTTACTCTCCCGTCCTCTGTCTTCTTGTTGCTTATGCTCAGGGCTGACATGTTGGTCCTTTAAACGCTGACAATCAGGTGAGATCAAAATGTCAGGATGTGTTGCATTTATCTTGTGTTGATACAATTATCTGAGATATCCATATCTTGATTTTACAGGTGGTTTACTGCTGCTAATAGCACTTGCATGTGTGATTGCATGTTGCTGTATAAGAAGACGAAACAGAGAACAGAATCAACCGCCAGCAAGGTAATCAATTTTAAATTATTGTTATTTACAAAGTTCTTTCATTTGTATGTTTAGCTATTGTGAGAGCCTGTTACCAACACGTCCTCATGTTTAATATGAATTTGTCTCAGGGACCCTGATGTAAATTTACCCCTAAGAGAGCAGCAGGACCCTGGATAAACCAATGAGAGGTTAGTGCTATAGGTTACAGCCTATAGCTCACAGCATATGTAAATGTAGACGTAAATATATTCACTCTGACTTTTTATACCTTCAGATATAATCGTGGTGACCCTGGACCAGATGATGGCAGCTCTCCTCAACGTGAAGCTTAAACTCCTGCAGCCTCATTTCTCTTCTTTTCTGTTTGTGTTTGTCTGTTCTACTGGCCTGATTATCATCAAACTTTGTGGACGTGTGTGTGTGTACAAACTTTTGACATGTTAACATCTTTTTTGGGAGCTTTTCCTTTTCCCTGTGAGGGTCCAAGGGCAGTGGGATGTCTTGTGCCGTAAAGCCCTCTGAGGCCAATTGTGATTTGTGATACTGGACTGTATATATACAACTGAATTGATGTGAATCACAGAGCGAATATACAAATTATTTTTCACTTTCAGTAACATTGCGAGAGGTCATTTGGCTGGGGCAGAGTAGATGCGATATATTTTAAAATCCAGTAGATGGTGGCATTACTTTCTTGCAAGCAAGTCTAGTTACCTACCATATAGCACTTATGATTACCATGACTTGGATGACTGAGAATCTTCACTGACGTATGATAAAGTGTTTTCTGGTTTTCACAAATGTATGTTAAGTATGTGACGAATTATGAATCCACCAGTACATAATGAATGTAAAATAAGTCTTCAGCTGGACAAAACCATATTTTGACATTACCTAACAGTTTTTAAAAATATATCCACACATATGTAGTGGCTATATTTGTAAATTTGCATTTCATAGAGGACTGGACTATTGGTCTTGGTGGAGATCTCCTCTCTCTGAGACACAAAATGACCAGAGAGAGAAAAAAACAGACGCCTATGACTACAGAGATGCAAAACAACAACAATAAAGGATAAACAACTACAAAGTCTGTGTGTCTAGCTCTTTGTAGGAGAGGTAGTAGGGCCTGGTGCATGTCCGTGCCCAGGGGCCCATTGTCTTATAATATAGCCATGTCTAGGCTGTATCATTATGTCCCACTCAGTATCACAGGGCTGCTAAAACTCTCATATGGTGCAACCAAGATGAGAATTTAAAGATATGAAGGGTTTTTAACCTCGAATACATTTTGGAGAGATAACAGGGGATGTTATTATCAAAGTAAATTAAGGGGATGACATTTATAAGTGAAGGCTCCTGCTCAGGCCTGCAGAGGGCGTGTGGAGTCTCTTGTCATGACTGAATCCAGTGGTGCACTGAGTGGCATGGCTGTATGTGGGGAGGCAGGGCAGGGACATAGAGACACGCAGGGCTTCCCGCTGCTCTCAGTGGAGGATTGACTCTTCAGGTGTACACACAGTCAGCTCGCGGTGGAAACACTCCACATAAATTGCGTTTATTTTTCTTTACTGCATTTATTTGTCTGGTGGGGATCGACTGGTTGAGGAGAGGGCTTTACTGTGAGGACTGCAGCAGCCACTCTGAGGAAAACATTATTTCTACACGACTACGCATTAGAAGACGATTGGCTGGTAAGATTTATGTGAGTTTGATGTATCTGGTGCGACACAGTAGATACCTCAGTAAAATAGTATAGGTTACAGATTAACTATACTGACACAGACCATTACCTCATATACATCACGTTCTCTGTTCAAAGTGTCACTCTCCAGGTGTTGCGACAGGTGAAAAACTGCAGGTGCGCTTAAATTGTTTCTGCTCGGATATAAAGGTGTTAGGCTGTTAAAACAAAACACCTGACGTTTCTATGGAGGCTGAATTTCTCTAACAAGCCTTTTTCCCTCCTAGAATATGTTCTGTATTACTGGCTAGAGGTCAGGAGGTGAGATTGTTGCTAGAAGATTATATTTTCTTAGTAAACAATGATTTAATTTACAGACTGTAACTGAAGGTGTCATAATAAAGGTGGTTGTTGAGGGGGTGGCTCATTTCAATTTCATCCTTAAACTAGATAACCAGTGTGGCTGCTGGAAAGTCACTGGTGTTTGTTGTCTGCTGTAACATTTACTTTTTGCTGCTGTTTTCTAAACCAATGAGGAAGTCATTTTTTTTTAATGTGTCTGCAACTCTGTCTTGAACTTAGTGAGTAACTGGAAGTCTGTCCAATTTGATGGGAAATGAGGCAAGCATGCATGTTGAAGGTTGTGTAACACATGAGGGGGCAGAAGAAGAAAGTTGCATGTTTGAAAAAAACATGGAAAACTTTTTCCTGTAGAGTTTAGAGTAAATCTAATTTTAAAGAATCCGTGTGTAAAATGTAGGGGGATTTAGTGGCATCTAGTGGCAAGGACTGCACATTGCAATGAGCTGAAACTTCTCCTGGTTTTTACGGGAGCCAAATTATCCACCGAGGTCTCTTCCTCTCCAAAACAGACAGACCAGAAGATTAAAATACTCAATAAAGCAGTTTCACGTTACAAATAAGTGTTTTGTTTGGCATGTTAGAGACAGGCCGCTAGCCCAGCACCTGCTCATGTGTGCTCACCTTTTTACTCTGATAACTTAAGATCCAAACGTTCAGGAGGTTTTTACCAGGAGCCAAATTATCCGCAGAGGTCTCCTTCTCTCCAGAACAAATGGACTCTGATTTAGACCGGTAAAAACACTGAATAAAGCAGCTTTAGATGTCAAAATCTGTGTTTTTCCGACACTGCTTGTTGCGGAGGAGCTACATTGGCCTACTTGAAAATGGTAATAGCCATATCTAGAGCCAGTGTTTGGTTTGTCCGTTCTGGGCTACTGTATTTCTGAAGATAGTGAGGGCATGTCCTGCCTTACTCTGCCTCTGATTGGCTTACCCTGACATTCTTTTCCAAACCCTAACCAGTCATACCATCGCTATCCTAGGAAACACAAAGTTGCGACCTGCTACCTAATTAGATATGAAGGTCTCACTCTAAGGTAAAGAAAACACAATGATTCTTATTATCGGGTGATTATAGACCAAAGTAAACATGCATATTATATAATACTCAGTCTCTGCCAATATAGCCCCATCTCCTACACGCTAGACCTTTAAGATCATGTCTGTATCATTCAGTTTAACCTTTTGTAAGTCATGTTACTGAGAGACTACTGCATGTGTGCAAACACACCTACTAAATCCTTTTGGCACGATATGTGCTGTATAGCCCAGGTGACAGATTTTCTGTATTCCAAATATATTATCTGTGTACATTATTAGATGTTGCCCCAGGTCAGCCTTTCATTTGAGCCTCTGAGCCTCAGTACCTATCACATTATCACTGCTCTTTACAGTGAAGTGCTACATTTCTGGTTGTTGGTAGACAGACTGTGACTGTGAAATAGCTTCGCCGGTCCAAAGAGAAAAAGTGATTGGTGGTTATCTTGTATGCTGCGCTGGGAGACTGAGAGCTGCCTCAACAGCAGCAGAAGTGTCCAGAGAATGATCTGGACTTACTGGGTATTATTCAACGGTTCAGACTGTGTTTGACAAAATACTGAATTTTATGTCTGAGAGAGGGGTTTGCTTTGTCATAACGGAGGCTGAAAATATTTGGCACAGTATGGTTTACTATCTGTTGTAAGAAGCAGGCAGTGTGAGTTTTAATTTTTGTTTCCTCCATCTGACAATTCAATGAGAACTATTTCCCTTTAGAAATGACTCATGGTTTTTTGAATTCGTGCAATAGAATCATTTTTCTGTTTGAGCTTTTCCCTCAATCTAATTATAGACCAGTAGTTCTCAAAGTTTCTGTGACTGAGTGCCTGTTTAGGGAGCCAGCACATTATTTAGGGCCACACGGGTTCAGGACATACGATGTTGGCCACTTTTACCAAGCAGTCCCACACAACTTCTCCATCACTGAGCGACTTACCACGCTTAGCAATGTTGTGAGCTTCCACATAGCTTGTACATTCACTTCTTTTCACAAGATTTGTGAAGACTGACTGTTGGGCACATAAGTCTTGGTCTCATAATAGTGTGTAAGATTAAATTCCTTGAGCATCAAATTCACCTGTTTGCAGATAAGGCAGATCACTTTATCCCACGAGGTTCGATGAAGTAAGAATAAATCAGTTCTTCCTGAAACCTCCTTTTCTACTCAACCATACATTGTTTTTCAGTGTTGGATTTTCCATCTTACTTCTACATTTAACTGCCAAGTTGTCCGTTAATATCCCTTGCAGTGATGATCGAATGTAAATCCCATGACACTTGCAAGGTGCCACAAGTTGCCAAGCACCCAGTAGCTTTCTACAGGTGTCATTCCTCACTTGACAGGGGAATCTTGTTAGGGGGGGCGTAGTTTGATGCAGAGGCCAAGTACTGTAGTGTATTAAATTGAGCATCGCGTTAGTTCAGGTAGGACACAGGTAGGGGGGGTCTTTGCTGCTGCTCTCCTTGCCTTAGGCTTTCTATGTAGGCGCATGGAAGGGCAGGAAGGTTTGCCTCTCTGCCTTATGCTTTCCACGTAGGTGTGTGGAAGAGCCTTTTTGCGTAGGCCCGAGGAAAGGCAGAGGGGCCCCAGAACAGAGCCATACTGCCAAATATAATACTGCAAATGGAAATAACGTTTTCTTTGACTAAAGTGTTCCTGACTGAAATGTAAGATATTAAGAATAAAAGTGTTGATATGGATGGTGGATGATTAAGTGCATTTCATGTCTTGTTTGGAGGGGCTGCACAAAATGTTTCTGAGGGCTGCCATTGGCTCGCGGGCCACACTTTGCTTTGAGCAACTGTGTGATAGACCATCCCTGCTTTAAACATCCTGGATCATCCTGGCTGAAGATTCTGCCCATTGATTTTGCCCATTGACCCTTTTCACATTGTAGTGTCTCTGTCTAATACGGAAACACATTAACTGTAACTTGTGATTGTTCCTTGAAACATTACAGACAGCGGTCACTAATTTGGATCAAAGTGTGATGTTGTGATGATCGGAGAAAATGAATAATCATGCAATTCTGAGTGGTTTTCCAATCGGGGTTAGGACAAGGACGAGGTGTTACGCAGAATTATGAGTGTGTGGTTTCCTATATGAACACCCTGTTTGTTCCTCATTTGACTGGGAGGCAGTGGACTTGGTCAAGCTCACTGCAGAGGATGTTTGAAAGGGAAAACAGCTCATGCAAATCCTCTGCTCTCTCCTTGGGACCAACACCTGAGCTCCTGTGCTGTGCTGCCTGCTGCCCTTGCACAGATATGTCACTCGTCAGAGTGAGTAGCATCTGTGCGTTATGTAATATTTCCCATCTGAGTAGCAGCAGAAGTGCCACAGCACTGTAGAGCCAAAACCTTGTAAACACAAATCATATTTATTCAGTGACTCTCAGCACTTCTTGGGCTTTAACTGTGGTGGACCAGATTCTCTCTTTTAAGTTAGCGATTAAATTGGACACTGACTGTCACTGTAAGCCTTAATCAATAACATTGATTCAAAGCTGAGGGCCACCTTTTGAAGACCATCTTTTTCCTGCTGTATGAGCGTCCTGTGAAGAGGTAGAACATTATTTAACAGCTGTAACTTTTAGTCTTGTGATTGTGGGTCAAAGAGCACTCTATGTACAGTGCTCATTCTGTACCATGGGATCTCAGCAGTGATAGGACCAAAATATCAGGCACATGAGGCTCATTAAGACAGTTACATAAGTGAGTGCCCTGAACAGTAGCTCTGAGCCCTCTCTCACATCCAGTAATGGTCTGACTGACCGATGTGCCGGGTGTGGCCCCATCTTGGGTCTTGTTACATTCAAGATGTTCTGATTAAAGAAAAAAACCCTCACTGTGTTGTGATAATGAAATGTGGCACCTCGTAATGTTTGTGTAGTGTGACCTCTCTTCATACTACACCCACTCTAATTCTTCTCTCGGAGGATCGTCTCTCACTCCTTGTCTCCGCTGCTATATTCTGGGTCGGAGTGCTAATTTGCCACGTCCCAGTTGTAAAGCGATGAAAGCATGACAAGAGTGTTTGTTTTCCTTCCAGAGCTCATCATCTCAGGTTATTCAGCACCATGTGATTCTTCTCTTGTTGCTCTTCTTGTTGCAAACCTTTATTCAGATCACTTCAATGAGTGACAGTGCATTTCATTGTAGAATGAGACTGGAGATTATTTGCAGGGGGCTTCCACACAGATTGAAGATTATATGGAAAAACAAAATGTGGCCTCCATCTTGTGAAGACTTGGTATCAATATCTGTAGTGGACAGTATTTGAAGTTGTTGTGTCTCAGTATTCTTTAATCTAACTTGTATCATTTGTGGGATGACTTACTATACCTGAGTGTTGTGTTTTGCTGCTTTGCTGCTTCCCCAAAAAGTCAGTGTCAGACCTTTAGTGGTTTCCAGTAATGATTACTTTTCTTTTTTCCCTTTTTGGTTAACCTACTTCTGTTTTAATGAATTAATTATTAAATTAGTCATTTAGCCAATAAAATATCAAACCAAGTAAGAGAGGTGTGGTCTTGAGTCACATGACATGGACTCCAGTCACAAATTTGATGAGTTTATACTCAACTTGACAAATTTTAAGAAGACTTTCAACTTGAATTGGA